AATGCAGTATCCTGAGATAAGGGAAAGACTGGCCAGAGGACCCCAGGCTCTGTTTCAGCCCAACCCCACCCTAGGAACAATATGTCCTTCAAGGTTTTAGCCCAGTGATCCATGTAACGCTGGGGTATAAAACCCAGAGTGAGATGCTTTCTGGGGTCCTTCAGCTGCTGTGTAAATGGGACATGTGCAAATGGGATTCCATTCACCTCAGGCAGCTTTTGTGAGCCTTGTGGGACCAGCTTGGAATAAATTCTAGGCTTCCATTGTCTCTTGCTCCCTACCTCTAACTAATAACTCTGCTTCATGTAACTTGCTTGTGTGAAAGTTGTCTCACTGGACTCAGGCAGGATGGTAACCAGTTCACAGTGAAGCCCCTTCACAAAGATTCAGAATAAAATCAAAAAGGAAAAGAATGTCTGGGAACATTTCCTGAAGAAACCAAGCATGAGCCTCCGGTTGTTCTCTCCCAATGGAATCACACAGATAGCACTTAACTCTCCCAGCAGTGTTGTCTGACAACACATGTGATGTGCTGCCAATCAGAGAAGCTTACCCGAGCCGTGATGTCCAGAGTTTTATTGAGGGTGCTGACATAGACATGGAGAGCCCACATGTCTGTTCTTAGTCATGTGGTCCCCAACTGCCTCACCCCACTGTTCAAACTGATACATCATAGCCCAAAGCCCCAGCTATTCAAAAACAGATATTCACCATCACTCATATTATCAGCATAAACTATATGACCTGGGCCCAAGTATACAAAAGTGCTCTTATTAGGCAGAATATGCCAAGGTTTTAGAAGATATCTCTCAGGAACTGATAAGGGCCCATGCTGAAGACCAATGGAACATGGAGAGTTTGTGCAGCCCAGGCCCACTGAGTTCACCCTTTGCTGCATAACAGCAATATAAAAAACTTGCTGGAACTGTTTTCCGTATAATTGCAATTTGGCTCTTTAATTTGTCCAGTACAGAAGATAAATGAATCTTCAAAATATGAGTTGGTTATGCTTTATGAATTTGTACGCCAGATTGCTCCCATTTATAGTACTATTCCAGATGTGATCCTCTTACAGTACAGCCCATAGTACCCTCAATATAGCTTTTAATCTGTACAATGCTTTCCCTCCCTCTCTACAACACAAAACAAAAGCAAACTTGCCAAGTCATTTGCTTTTTCTTGGCAGGAGACATAAAGAATGTTGAGCATTTTGTATCTAAATGTGTAAATTCCAGCTTCTGCAGGGAAAAAAAAAATATAGTTTGCCTCTTAGTATCTCATGAAATAATACAACTATTCACCATCTTGAAGATGAAAGGAATACGGAAACCTGGAAATATCAGCAAATTAGAAGCCTTGTTTCCATGATATCAGTTATATGGGGACTTACTGTGATGTCCCTAACATGGAAGCACATTATTCTAAGTCTTGTGTTTTCTATAACATAAAAGCAGTTATATTCAATTTTCTATGTGAGTGAGTACACTTTTGACCACTATAATGGATCCTCTTAAAGGTCGACAACTTTGTTTAAAAAACAAAGCAAGAAAGGGTTCACCAGACCACAATGCAAGCAGTTCTATACCTTAGCACTTTTCATACCACCCTCCCTAAATTGACACTGGCATATGAAGATGATATATTCAGTGGCAAAGCTTTTGGAAATTTTTAATAGATCAAATTTTGCTTCTACAAATTTACATTTGTCATTTTCAGAAATAAGCTTTGTCTTTTTACTAGGTCTAGTTGAAATTAATACTTGACCATCGGATGCCAGGTGTTCATGTGCTCTGAATGTTTAATTATGAACATAGAGTATAATTCAGAACAAATTCTGAAGGTTCAAGTAATTTTTAAGGGGCTTACACTTAGTTTTTTTAGCACAGTGTTGTATATCACTTTACTCAACCTATAGTTAGGGGGAGAACTCCATGGCTAGTTAAAACAAGAGTTAGAAAACACACACACACACACACACACACACACACACACAGCCTGGTTGAGAGAGCTGGCTCTATATGCTATAGTGGTTACTGCAAAGAATGAGTTGCTGCAGTATTATACACCAAACTTGGGAAATTTAAAGAATATTGGAGAATGTATTCATTAAGCAGAGCTTCCAGAAATAAATATTTTCATTCACAGTGCTTAGTAGAAGAGATCTGCTTTGGTTTGGCCAGGTGATCAGGAATCTGAAGGATTACAATCAGTAGTGAAGGGAAGGTTCAAGGGAGTTTTATGTGGATGGACTTCCTGGTATGAACTAAGTGTTCAACTAATGACAAACTCATAAAAATATTTCTCCCCTGCACAACTCTTTACTCATCTTCTTTAGAGGGTGGTGCATGCAGAAGACCAATTTTTCCTCAAAGGTACACAACAGTGATTCCACTAAACTGGACAAAGTATGCCACAGTAACTTTTCTGGCCCCATAACTGAAGCTAAGTAGGTAAGTACTTATTTCCTTACTCCTTAGAAACTAAAGCATGGGTATCGGCCCTACTTTTGGCTGATCAAAAATTTAATGTCTGGCTTTTGAGTCTTGAGATAGTCAAGCAAAATAAGAGATTATTCACAACAATTGGAGATACAAATGGCTGGCAAATGTAAGTAAACAAACTCTTCCCTAGGTAAGATCCTCACTCTTGTCTCGTTTCCTTTGGCTCCTGCCAGGTTTCTCAACTAGTTTTCCAGGTTTCTCATTTTTTCTATGAGTTATCCAGTATCTTTTGTATTTATTAATTTTCTGCTTTAAATGAGCAAAGCAGTTTTATTGCTGTCCCTGACAATACTGCTGTTCAAAAAACACAGCAATATCCTTAAATTTAAGCACAATCCTTATGTTTTAGTAATATATACATTCCATATACAAATGGAACATTTTTACAATACCATTTTTAATATACACAACTAGAAAATTTTTGTTTTGTTTTGTTTCTTTTTGCCAAGCCTGTAAGTTTATCAAATGAAAAAGGAATAAAGAAAGAAAAAAAATAATTTGGGCACCTTCTCTTGATAGAGCACCACAAATATTAGCTCAGCATAAGGAAAGCCGTGTTAGAGTTTAATGCTGAGAAAATAATTCTGCTTGAACGATGGACAATTGCTGCAATTTGTAGGAGTAACAAATTAAGGACATAACTCAGTAACTTGCAAAACTAACAATCTTGTTTAAAGTTGCAGATGGTCTGGGAAGGAGATAAAGTCATAGCCAAGAAGTCTGATTTCAGTCTTTACAGGAATGGAGCATAAAGACAGAGATTAAAACATGCTGATCTGCATGTACTCACCGACACTATTCCTGAGACATTTTACAATACACACCTCCCTTTGTCTTTTTGTCTTATGAAACCTCAACTGTCACAAGTAACTCTAAGACTCTAAAACTATTGTAGTTTAGCTGACTCCTCAGATGTTTGATGATAATCTTTCTGCTTTGCAGCAATATTTGGGATGGATGAGTCTTTTGTTTCTGACCAGAGAGCAGCTGAACTTTGTCTGCCAGTAACAAGCTCATTAGTTTTCTTCAGCTGTGTATTAGAAGCTCTTAATTCCTCTCACACATTGCTTTTTTTAAAGAAGATTTATTTATTTTATTATTTTAATTTATCAATATACAATGTAGTTGACTTTCGTGTACCTTTACCTATTCCTCCTTTTCCTCCCTCCCTTTCCCCACCCCCTCCATCAACATCATATCTGTTTGGTTGTCTTAAAAAAATCAAGGACTTGTTGTGATTGTTGTGTCTTCTCCCCCTCTCCAGCTCCAGTTTGTTTGTATATTTACTTATTTATTTTTATTAGCTCACACAAATAAGTGAGAACATGTGGTATTTCTCTTTCTGTGCCTGGCTTATTTAACTTAATGTAATTTTGTCTATGTTATCCATGTTCCTGCGAATGGTAGTATTTCATTTTTTTTTTTTTAATAGCAGAATAGTATTCCATTGTGTAGATATACCTCCCCTCATCTCATGATGGACATTTAGTCTAGTTCCAACTCTTGGCTGTTGTAAATAGTGCTGCAATAAACATGGGAATACAGGTTCCCCTTCAACACTGCTGGGTATATACCAAGATAAATGGAAATCACATTGATTTTTTTAACTGAGGTACGATGATACTTTAAAAAAAAAAATACACTGATCTTTCACCTATTAAGAAGACATTCTTCTAGTAGCAGCAAAACTGATTTCAATATTCCCTCCAGGTAGAGGAAAGAGGCCAATGGGATCCTGTATTTATCCATTCTCCACTCTGTCCACCTTAGGTATCTTAAGGAATAGACTGCCATTGTCAATCATTTAAAGAACGCTAAAATCTAGACCTACATTTTAAAGCATTAAAAAAGTAGTGCTGAAAATACTGTTCTAATGGCTACAGAAAGCTGACGATCATGAAACAAGATGCTAAATACTTCCCTGTGTTATTTCTGTCCTCACAAGAATCTGATGAGGTATGCATTCACTATTAACAGTTTAAAAATTAAATATATATATATTTAATATATATATTTAAATATATTTATATAAATATATATATATTTAATATATTTATATATATTTAATATATTTATATA